ATTCTATTTTTATCTTAATTTACCTTAATTATTGAAATTGATTAAACATCGATATTTCAATTTAAGGAATTTTGCCCAAATACTCATAATAGTAGAGACTGACCCATATAGTTCTGATACAGTAGCTAAGTACTATATTAGAGTAGTTCTTTAAATACAGGTATTACTATATATAGGTTCTATTAGCAAATATATATACAATACTAGGCAAAAATTGTTGAATAATGGTAATTTGGCTCAAACAGGCAAATTATTGGCTAACATGTGCCACACAGCAGCACGTGTCAGCCAATCATTTGTCCATTTGAGCCAAATTACTATATTCAACAATTTGCCCAGTATTAGTATTATCCGGCAATTTATAATTATAGCCCAATTCTTCCCCTCCTATATATAGATTTTAGATTTAAAAAAATGATAATAAAATAAAAAAAGAAATTTATTTCTTACTTTTTTAATAATAAAAAAAAATTCTATAGGCGTTAATTTTTTTTTTTAAAAAAAATAAACTTTCTTTCACTTTATATTATAAAAGCATAATCCTAAGAATTTTTTTTCTAATGCCCAAGTGAAAAACTAGAGCTAGTAGATTCAAGTCGAATGCCATTTTATCTAGAACCAGTAAAAAAGATAACATTTCAAAAGTCAGCAATAAAAAAAAAGTTGTCTTAACTACGAATAGTAACCTTGCTTCAACTACGAATAGTAACTCTACTCTAACTATGATCAGTAATTCTGAGCCAAGTGTGATGACTAATCCTGAGACAAACGTGATGAGTAATTCTGAGCAAAGCATGATAAGTAATTCTGAGCCAAGCACAATTAATAATGTATCCAGTATTGTGAAAAAGCTGGTCCAAGTGTTAAGAACAATAATGCAAAGGTAATTTTTTTTTTGGTTGGTTTTTTTTTTTTAAAAAAAAAATATATAAGTATGTATTTATTAAAACAATATGCACAAAATTTTAGCATATTAAATATACAGAACCTTCATTAGAGGATCTTGAGACTGT